TGAGGCTAGGTGTTAGAGGTTCTTCACAGCCAGGCGTAGAGTTGATGTACGAGGCAGGAGAGAGCCATGATGGTGGCTGAATGACATCTTTTAATTAAATTAATCTGGCAACATTGCAGAGCTGAGACTAGGAGAAGGGTCTGGAATCACTAAGCTTATTGTATTGATCCATATCTTCAGTGATGTGGGCCTGAACTCTGGTGGTCCATAATCCTGGTGGGAATTGAGAAGCCTCCATCCAATTTAAAAAGAGACTAGCCACAAGAGTGAGGATAATTTACATGTTGGAAATTATTTCACAAAGTGCTGTTTTGTTCCTCAGCTAGCCCCTTGGCTCTCATGTGGTTATTTATTAAATCACGTTGGATGTTTGCTATTGTTGTTGTTGTTCCTAAGCTGTTTAGCATTTCTTTATCCCCTATAAATGGTGGTCTCCATAACCTCTCCCCATCTATATTTTACCATTTTCCTTTTAATCTTAAACTAAAAATGTGCTCCTCAGGCACTCTCTCATTGTTAATTGGATGTCACTGGTGAAGCTTGCATGCTGGTGTTGTAATTACTTCCCTGTATCGTCTTAATTTTTTCCCCCTTGTTCACATCTGAAACTGAAAATATCTGTTCAACACCTTGATCTCAGCAATTAGTTAAGTGGTATGCAGCTGGTTATCTGGGGTGTGGGCTCAAACGCTTCATCATCTCTATTCAGGTCTGAATGGGGATCTTCTCAAACAGTAACACTTGTGATTAGTGTATAATTGCAAGAAAGTTCTTCTGAGCAGTGGTTCTCAAAGTGTGGTCCCCAGAAGAGCAGCAGGATCTGAGAAATTGTTAGAAATGCAAATTCTTAGGACTTCATCCCAGACCTACTAAATCAGAAGCTCTGGGAGCTGGGGCCCAGCAACATTTTAACAAGCCCTCCAGGTGCATGCTGAAGTTTGAGAATCATGTCCTGGAGAAGTGTCTTCACAGGGTTGGGCAACCAGACTCAAGGAGGTAGGAAAACAGACCCAGAAAACAGCAGGAAAGTTTAGAGGCTGAGAAGAGAGGGCAATTACTTCCCTCTTGGAGATGATGCAGACGTCTAGAGGATCAACCGTGAGAAGTGGGATTTTTGTCCTTAGCTACCTGCCCTTTGAAAGTAAACCTGAGTAGCCATTGCTTGTCTCGAGCTTTAGAAAGACAAGTTCTTAAGTCAGTCTTCGGGAAGGACTGTTGGATCTTCCTGCTCAAGGGTTTTCATTGGACATTATATTGTTAAATGGATGAAGAAAAAGTATACTTCCTACTTTGGATGAGTCTTATTTTCCTCTATAGAGACATCTAAATACCGGATGTGCTTACATGATGGTCAAGAGGAATTAGGAGTTCGTCTTTCAACCTCTATCCTACACTGAACATTTATCCCGTGAGAGGAAGCTCTCCACTGAGGTTCTTTTGAAGGTGCCCCAATCATAGAGTCCTGGGCAAAACACTAAACTGGTCTAAGGTTTTAGTATCACACTAGATCTGTGGACTGTGAGAGCCTAGGAATGAATAGTCCATCAGCTTAGCAAGTATCCTCTGTCCTCTAATTAGTAAGTCATTAGTTAATCAAGAACAATTTAGGGAAAATCAGTTTGCTACTACTAGGATCAGAACTTCCATCCATATTTTAGCTTTTAAAACTCCTCTTTTTTTTCCTTTTGGCAACGTATGCCCATATAAAGTCTATTCTGATGTGGGCATACCTTGTCAGAATGGCAATCCAAATTTGTGAGTAATCCAGAGTCACTTTGCTTTATAGTTTAAAAAAAGTGATTTCTCTTGTAGTTTTTGAAAGTTCTGTGTATCTAGACAAGGAACTCTCTATTTTACACAAAAAGGGAGAGGAATTTCTATTTCATTCTCCATCCTACAATGAGCATTAATCATTAAGATGAAGTCTCTTTAGGAGGGAAATAAACCCTAGCTGATATAGCCAACCCTTTTGTTGTTGAATTATGTATTTTCTTTTTATAAGATCAATGAACTTCTCCATGGGTTGTTTCCATTTGGATAATGAAATGATGGAGCTTTATAATCTCACTCCGTGGTCTCTGATTGGGTAAGCTACTGTACTAAAGGCACTCGGAGGATTTATCTTGGAGGGGATCCTAATAAACAATTGTGTTGACACTTGAGAAAACTAGGCAAGACATTTCTCCTTGGACTGTTATGGCTAGCAGGAAAGAGCTAAAGGGATAGAAAACAAACTCCCTGATCACTCTGGTCATAGCTGGGTCCTAGGGCTTGGCTCTCTTGTCCCAGAGCTTCCTGCGTCTCTCCCTGCTTCATCTCAGCAGAGTGTGCTCATATTATTGGTGAACTTCAGCCAGAGGAAAAGCTGCTGGCACCAGCAATGTAATTTACTCCCTTTATTATTTCAGCTCAAAGTCTAGGACTCAAGGCATGATATAAAACAATGATTAAATCAGTTCTAAATTTTTGAAAGAAAGACTAGAGAAGAGGTCTATTATAGTTTCGGCATTGGTCTCTGTAAATCAGGGGTACTGTTGAGAAATATTTTTCAGCACAGTGTGCTTTAGCATCCAGCCCTCTCATTGTTGCCTTTGGGTATGGGCAATATAAGAGGGAGCAGCAGAAATGACAAGGAAGGCAAGAAACAATGGAAAGAAGCTGCTACAGCCTGCTTCCTTATACTCTAGAACATCTGCTTCCACTTATGTTGAACCAAAATATCCTCAATGGCATTCAGCTAACATCTCTCCCCCTACTATTCCATTCTCTTCCATAGCCTAGCAAATACTTTCCATAAGAGATGTATTTCAGTGTTACTACCAAATTAACCAGGAGGCCATGGAATTAATAGAAGCTTGGGAACTCACAGGAACCCCAAATATGCCACCAATAACTATGGCAATCAAAGGTTATTGTTTGGCTTTGATGATGTGATATTGGGTTTTCCATAATAGTCTTGGGAACCAAGACTTTCCTTCTGTCCCCTTACTGTGTACACATCAATCTTGATGAATACAAATTTAGAATTCACAGCTTAGTCACTGCAGGCAAGAGTGAAGACGTGAGTGCAATGTTTACCAACAGAGCTCTCCATTCTCACTCTCTTGCTTACTTTCTTACCCACACACCCCATTTATTCTTCAGTAGCACATCATAGCAGTGGCTTACATAGCACAGAGATGCATTATGTCTTCATCCGTTGGAATCTATAGTGGGTTTCTGGACAACCTAGTTCATGTACTTCTTTTCACTGCAAATAGAGTGGCTAAGAACTCTGACACCTGTGGGCCTTTTGGGTCTTGTTCTTGAGTTAAACAGAACTCTCTCATGGCTTGGGAGTTGCAGAAGTGTCCTGTATTAACTCTAGATCTGTATTTTCCTTTTTTCATTCAAATTAACACCTATATAGGAGAGCAGGCAAAGAGCAGTGGTAGGCTGTGATGTTTTAGCTTCTTTTGCTCCTGTCTCCTTTCAGCATTGGACTAGGCAAATTCATGCTGTCTTTCTGCCCACTTCCCTACTTTAGTGAAAATCCAGCAGTTGTCTTCTTTTTTTTGTAAAAGAACTATTTTTCAGTGTGTTTTTTGTTCAGTCTGCTTAGTTTGTAAATGTAAACATAGATTCCTCTTAATGCTTGTCTGAAGGTTTTTCCGTGTATTTGTGATTTGGGAGATTACAAAGGGCATGTTTGACTTGTAATGGAGATGAAGAATGGATCAATTCAGTGCATGTAATATGATCAGAGAGTCCCACGGACTCACCCACCATGCCTCTAAGTGAGCCCTGCATTCCCGTACTGCACAGATTCCTGCCTGTTGAAAAACCAAGCATTATCCTTATAGAAGTACAACTATACTAACTGGTATTGCATACAGCGATTTCCAAAGTGGTGATACTAGGAAATCCTCCATCCTCCATTTCTCAAGCTAGCCCTCTCCTGGCCCAGAGGTCCATGTTGCTTCCCCACTGGGGAAAGTATTTTGCTTCTCCCTCTCCCCCTGCCCCCTTCTCTCACCTCACCTTCTTTATGTCCCTGGCCTGTTATCATTTGCTTACCAATAACAGTATACTATGAATTTTCATTCACAGCTTTGAGATGCTTATGAGGCTTTCCTGCTCCCCACCCAGCCCCAAACTTGGGACTTTTCACACACTGATCCTCTGATCAGTTTGATGTGGGAAAGCACGCAGAAGCCACGTACCAGTTTGTATAGTAGTACCCTTTTGACCCGCCTACTCTTAAACAAAGTAGAGTGTGCTGGGGGTTTGCGTTGGCTGCTTGACACCCACAGAGCCAATTAACCTGCATGCCGAAAAAAGAAAAGCAATTAACCCTTAGAGTACTGCTTCAGCATTTTGTTTTGTGGTCTTCACTGTCACCAGTTGGGCAATGCTTCTTTCCTCGGATCAGAGAGCTATACATAATGTCCACACAGTCTAGTCAGAACACCAGCCAGGATCTTCTCCTCTACAGCTTTCCTGAGATGCTCCTGGGTCCTTTTTCATTAATCAACTAATGGCTTTAGAAATGTCCAAAATATAGCCACTGTGTTTGATTGACAATGGGCTCCACTTCCAACGTGCTGGAGGGTGTGAGGGACTGTTTTTAGCTTTGGTCTGTGTCCTTTAAAAGAAAGAAGTCAGTTCTTTAAGGGTTAATATGAAATTAAGGGATTTGTTGGTCTCTCCTGCTTGTCCTTCTTCCAGGGTGTCTGCATGATCCTCTTTAGATTCTTAGCTCAACTGTTGAATGATAATAAAAAATAATATATATATATAAAATTACGAAAACAAATAAAAGAACAAAAGACTGAATGGTTGAATGGAAAGATCCCTTGGCAATGCTTGCTTGATTATCACAGGGGGTAGAAAGACCAAATGTTTGATTCTATGGACATTCATTTTGTCCTCTACCCTGAGCACCAGCACTGCACAGCCTTGTGGAAGACTTGATGATGCTTTCCATTTACCTCTTGTTTTTTCTTCTTCCTGTCTAATAGCCCAATAGAATCCTGCCAGAATTTCTACAAAGATTTCACATTACAGATCGACATGGCTTTCAACGTATTCTTCCTTCTCTACTTTGGCTTGCGGGTAAGTTTGCGCAACCCCGCTCGGTGTTGCAATGGGGCATGCAAGTCTTGTCCGCAGGGACAATTCCCCGTCAGCGTCTGCTCTCGCAGGGCAGATGAAGCCCAGTGTTTCCAGGGGAGATAGCAGACCCGCATTCTGATTTTCAGGCTATGAGAGAGCCCCTTCTTTAGCTCAGCATTCTCTGAAGTACATGTTAGTTTTGTTCCCAGGAGGAGACATAGGGGTTGAAATCACCGTATACCTCTACTGGTTGACTGTTTCTCTTCCCTCTATTCAAACATGAGTGCATTGTTTCTTTAAATAGAAAAAAAAGCTTTCTATTCTTAAAATTATGTTTATCAGTGCTCACTTGGCTGAATCCTGAGAGAACAGTTGTGAGGGTGAAATGAAGGGGGTAAATTGGCAGATTTGGGGACTTATACTAGACTCTGGTTATGAAGGGAGCTGTTCAGAATGTAGATTATAGAGGTGTGCGTGTGTATGCTTCCGTGCATGCCATGTGTGTATGCGTGTGAAGGAATGCGTACATGTATGCTTTATTTACAGTTATGTTTACTTTAGAGAGTCTAATGAAGGTGAGATCACTCAGCCTTCCCTATGGCGCTGTTGAAAACCACGTAAAAATATACTACCTGATCTGTCTCTAAGGCTAACAGAGCATATAGTCACACTCTGAAAAAGGCTGTGTATTGGAATTCTAGGACAAAAATAGCATGTGAGTTGTGTAGATATGAGTAGAGTATAACATCTCCCTCTGGAACCCATGAAAAACCTAAAGATACCCTTTGGCAAAAGAGTATAGTTTGAATGCTGGCACCGTGCTTCTCATTTTTCTCTCTTTGTTTTTTTTCTTACCCTCAGTTTATTGCAGCCAATGATAAGCTGTGGTTCTGGCTGGAAGTGAACTCTGTGGTAGATTTCTTCACGGTCCCCCCAGTGTTTGTGTCTGTGTACTTAAACAGAAGTTGGCTCGGTAAGTCCATCTCTTTTCTTTGTCCTGAGCCATGGCTGAAATATAGAATCTAGGGTGGATCAGAGGGTTCGGCTGTCCCCACAGAAAGAAAGTTTTCTGTATTACTGTGAACAGCTCTTAGAGTTTTCAAAGTTGATGGTGACAGTTCTCTTTCAAGCACTAGCCCAGAAGGATTTGCACAGTTAGTGCTTCACGTAATGCAGTTTTGTCATTGTTGAAGACTAGTGGTCATCACTGTCACAGCCAGGACCTCTATGTTCATGCTTCTGTCAATTTTCATTCAGGAACATGGAATTAGGACTAGACAAAGAAGCCCACAGGGACAAAACCAACTTTCCAAGTAGCTGGTTCAGGTGTCCCAAAGGCCTCCATGCCAAAGTTAGCTTCTGTCTGCTTCTTAGTTTTCTGAAGAGTGGGTCCAGCATGCTTTATTTATGTTATGAATTCCTTTGTTGGACAGGCTAAGGTAAAGCATCTTCAGTCACCTCTCGTCTTGAAGGAGGTTGAGCTCCCTTCCTGTGTTAAAGGAAGAGCTTTTGCTGGTGCTGTATTCACATCTCACTTCCTGTATCTACTTGGCATGTCACTTCCTGTATCTACTTGGCATGTCACTTCCTGTATCAGGACTAGGACACTTTGGTGGGAAAAGTAACTGCTAGCTCAGAGGATGGCTGTGGCAGCCAAAGGCTCAGAGAGACAGCTTCAAACGTTCTCTTTGCTATGCTGAATACTTTTCTCAAAATGTTCCTGCTGCCACATAGACCACTGGGGAAGAAGGGAGGTTGAAACAGGTCTTGGAGGACTATTTGTGGGTTCCTTCTGTCTTTCTTTTTTTTTAAATTTATTTTCTTAACCTAATATTTTTCAAAGTAATATATATGTATTGAGTCACTATAAACATTCAAAGATATATAAAGAAAATATTAATCATCTCTTCCCCCTACACCCATCACTGCTTTCTCCCTGGGATGTTCAGTGTTAACAGTTTCCGTATCTGTTATGCTCATTCCAACACAAATCAACATGGATGTGCACGTATAATAGTGTTATACAGCTGGTGGTCTTTGTACCAAACAATCGTATCAATCACATTGCACTGCAATTTAGTTTTCCTGCTAATTAATAAATGATGGACATCCCTTCAGCTCTGTAATAATTCACTTTGTAACAGTAGCGCGAGGTTCTATAAATTGTTGTACCACAGTTTATTCAGCCATAACCCTAATGTTGGGCCACCTGGTTGTTTTCTTTTGCCTTTTTCTTCCACTCTAAAGCATGGTTTCATAAACACCCTCATCCACATATATATACAATTCTATTTCTATTGATAATTCCAGGTTCCTGGAAGAAGACTTGTTGGATCAAAGAATATGTGTATTTTAGTCTATACGGATATCGTTGGACAACTTGCCAAAAATGTGTCAAGATATGCTTCCACTAGCAATATGTTTTGATGTTCTTGCTATCACTGTGAATTTATTATATACCCAGTAGCAAGTATTTAGGAAAGCGAGCATACTTTATATATAATGTATGCAATGATCACCTATACACATATATGTGTGTACCTCTATGTGTGTGTGTGCATGCATGTGTGTGTATCCTTTAAGGTTTCTAATTTCTACTGGTTATTAGAATTATATTCACTTGCTCAGTGTAGAAGTTTTCACCCTTGAGGTGAGACGTGCTTGCTTTGATTGGGTTTTCTAGCCAGCATGATGAGACCATTAGAGCCGCACACCAGTCTCAGAAACATCCTGAGTGTGACCTAAATGTGCTCAGGTCCCAAGGCTCCTGGCTGCCTCAGCTTAGCTGGTAACTGGCTTTGTGATTTGGGGAACTCGTTTTTCTGCGCTTAGCCTGTTGCTTTTCATCTATAAGATAAAAGCTAGACTACGTGATCGCAAAGGTTCTTGAAAGGTTCTGAGCTGAAGCTCAGAAAGTCTAGACTAAATTACCTCAGTCTTCACACTTCGTGGATCTAAATTTTATGTCTGGGTCCATTCTCTCTTGGCTCCTTGTGATCCTAGATGATTGAGGGGACGCCCTCATGCTTGTGGTGGAGACATCCCTCCTCTGTGCGAGCAGATCTCGCCCCGGGTGAGAGTGTGGAGCCGAGTCTCCTTGTTGGGAGGGAAATATCCCCTAAAGCATCTTAGGGTCAGGAGAACCTGAATGTTTTTAAATCCATGCCTCTTTGTGGATGATTTAATCCTGATTTTTGGAGATGTGTTCTGATTTAGTGAAAATTTATCAAAGCAAACAGTAAAAAGGGAAGAAACAGAACAAAAAGGAAAAGGAAAGAGTAATGAGATACACCTTTGCATCAGCTGTGGTTGCTCTTCAAAAGAAATATCCTCTAAAATGTGCTTCAATTTGTTCATTAATTGAACGAGATTTATTAAGAACCTACTATGTGCCAGGCCCTATTCCAGATGATTAGAAAACAACAGTGATTAAAATACACAGCATCCTGCCCTCTGACATTGCAGTGGTGGCAGCGAGGGGAACAGGAAAAAAAAGAACCTAATAAATAAGTACATTATGTAGTATGTTAGAAAGCGTAAGTGCTATGGAAACTCAAAACATAACTTTTGGGGTCATGAAATAGTAATAATAATAATAGCAAAAATAACAACAAAAATAACCTTTCTCCTCTGTAGGAGAAGGCACATTTAATGAAATACTTTTGGTTCTTTGGTAACTAAGCCCTCTTGGGTGAAAAGTAAACCTAGTTTGCCTGTTATGGAGGAAAATTCAGCATAATATTTCAAGGAGGTTCCCATGTCTGATTTAATACACAGGCTATTACATTGTGAGACAATTATTGTACTGATGATGATGCCAGAGATAAAATGAACATTCCCGTGAGGTATGGCTTATAGTAGAAGGAGTAATCCCATTAAAAGGGGCATTTCAGGAAGTGCTGCCCTCCTCTAGGAGAATGAAAAGGTGCCACCTTCACTGGCTGAAGTTTGGGATAAAATGCAGGAAACTGAATCTATCTTGCACATACGGCCGGAGCAGTGCTGTGAGCAGAGGGCGGTGCTACAGCAGGCTCCTTGGTGGAGAAAAAAACAGAATGAATGCCACAACCCCCGCCCATACCTTTCCCAGAGCACAGCCCACACCACATTTGATTTCTTATTGTTAGTATGTCGTTGCACATTATCTAGTATAGTATTTAGTTACTTTATCGCATGTATCATCTTAGTGCATTTGACAGTGTATTAATAATAACAGCCAGTATTTATTCTGTTTCTACTATGTGTGGGGCACCCTGAAAAGCCCCTTACATACATGAACTCGCTTAATCTTCAGAGCAAACCTGTGAGCTAGGAATTATTTTCTCCATTTTGCAGATATGGAAACTGAGGCTCAGAGATTAACGATAACTCTCTGTCCAAGGTCACAGAGCCTGGGAGTGATGGAAGGGATGATTTGCCCAGGTTTGGTCTGACTATGTCCATATTCATGCTGTTCTTCTGCCTCTGTCCTTACCCTTGAGAGCTTTTGGGTTTTGAGGACTGGTTGGACATGACTGAGCTGATTTTGATGCTTTATGTTGGCACCCTTCCATCTCTTCTTACTCATAGAGGGTGTCACTTCAGGCAGGAAGGGAAGGGAAGAGATCTTTTTTAAGAACACACATCCTCATGTCTCTTCTTCGCCTTCCCACTCCTCCTTGCCCACCTTCAGTTTCTAGAGTTGCCACCAGGATCAGACAAAGACGTAGAGCTAGGATGGTGTCTCCTGAGTGCCAGGGGACTCAGCAGCGTGGGGACTGGGCCTGCTCCATGTCTTCCATCAATAGAGCACGGTGGTCCAGAGTCAAGCTTTGGGCTCAACCACCTCAATTCACATCTTGCTCAGCCACTTGCTAAGCCACTTGCTACTTTGAGCAAGGTCATTTTACCTGTCTTAAACTCAGCTCTCTCACCTGTGCAATGGGGGTAATTATAGTACTCACCTCCTAGGGTGGTAGTGGGGATTCAGTGAGGTAACCTGAGTCAAGTACCATGTGCATTGGACACAATTAATCATTACCCCTGGCCTTTCTTTCTAACCTATCATATTTTAAAGTGCTAGGGAAGAAAACAAACCAGAATAGAACCAAAAATAAGCAGTGAGATGTGAGGACATCCATATTGGCAGGCAGCAAGTCACTGCTTATTTTAATTCCCGTTGCCACATACCAGCTTATTCATTTTTGTTTCTCACAAATCCTTATCCTACCTCACTAAAATAAATGGGCCTTGACATGAGAGATGTGTCTTATTTTGAGACTTGAACACTTTCTGGGGAGAACTCCTTTGTTTGTCTCATCCTTTTGGGAACTGTATCCCCAAGGTAGTCAGTGGTCTGTGCCTCCTTTGTATATTTATTTATATGTTTTTGTTGAGGGCTACCTTGTGTGGTGAAAGGAAGAGAGCAGAGAAGAAATAATAATGCCCTCCCTGGCCAGTCAGCTAACTGGTTTTATTGAGCACATACTGTGTACTCAGCACTGGCATGAGAGGAACACATGCATAGCCACCTTTCCTAGTTTTTCTCACACCCGTCACCGCAAACCTCGGCTGAGTCCCCCTAGAAAACCTTTCCTAGTTTTACTATGACTTCCAACATTGTCCCCTCTTCTCTGACTGATGAAATCAGGGTATGGTAAGGAGCTGCAGTCACTGGAACTCTGGTTGAAAAACTGCAAAACTCGTTCTCTACCCCGTGTTAGACCTGGCCTTGCACCTTAGACCCTTCAGCAAACTTTACTAGAAAATAGAAAACTCTTCCAAAAAATAGAAAAACGAGTTAGTGCCCAGCCGCGGGGCAATTAAAATGATTTAGGATATCTGCTTATAACTGCCTGGGCAGTCCCTTTTTGTGTCAAAAATGATAAAAACAGGATTATAAAAAAAAGTACAGGTCCTTCAAGACAATAACAACAAAAGGACAGAATAGTTTCTGTTTGAGACCAAGGTTTCAATCTAGATTTGGAACCAGAA